GTCGACCGCACCGGTCGATCGATCATTTATTTTTTCGTCAGCATGTGGCAGAGAGTTGGTCGGTCGACCGGTCCGGTCGACCGAGAGCTCCATCGATCGACCGATAAAATTTCCGGTCGACCGACGCCGTCGGTCGCCCGATATTTCCGCCGGTCGACCGACAATAGATCCGTTGCTTTTTTAACGGCTATTTCCTGAGTTGATTTTTTGGGGGCTCTTTTGTCTTTTTCTTAGGGTTTTTGTTGAGATCTTGAGTGGGTATAAATACCCCATTGCTGATCTCTTTTTAGGTAGCTAAGAAGTTTTTAAACAAGGGTTTGAAAAAGGGTTTAAGCTTGTTTTAAGCTTGTTTAAGGGTTTGGTTTAAAGCTGTTTTTGGTTTTCACAAGTGGAAGAGATTATCTTCTTGTTTGGGCTCATATCTCCATCTCTCCATCTTGATCTAGAGAAGTTTTTCTAAACTCAACTCTAGCTTTTATTTATAATTATTTGTTGATTATCATTTCTATTAAAGCTAGTTTTATATTGAGTTTAGTTTGATTTGATTTACTCTTTGTTTACACACACAACCATTGAGCTTATTGTATTTGCATACATTATATAATTAGGTTGTGGGATAGTGTGACATTGAGTTGAGCCAAATTGAGTTCTCACCTTGTTAGAGAGAACACTCATTTGTTATACTATGCTTAATTGTGAGGATTCACTTGTAATACACTTGTACACCGAGAGAAGTGTGTGGTGAGAGACGGGGTCGAATCCAATAGGAGTGGCGTCGGTTGACGTGCCTAGGGAGAGGTTGTAACCGAGCACTTGAGGAGGAGGACACGGGCTAGGACCAACACTTAGTGTGTGAGGTGTGATTGCATAGTGATTGTATTGTGAGGTGTAAACGTTGTTCGGGTGAACGTAGAAAACCCGGTTGTGATAGTGGAGATCTCCTCGAGGTGAGGAGCGGAGACGTAGGTCGTGGGGACCGAACTCCGTAATCATATTGTTTGTTTGTGATTGCATTGGCGCACTTCCTTTTATGTTCATATCTTATATCGCCTTTGTATATTGCTTGTTGATTATATTGCCTACTATCTAGTTTAGATTGTTTATCCTTGAGTTTATATATCCTTGCACATACATTGCCTATATCTCTTTGTTAGGATATATCTTGTTGTTCATATTGCTTATCCTAGCTCATATACATTGTTGTATTTCATACTTACTAGGATAACTTGTTAATTAATTTTAATTGGCATAAAATCGGATTAGATTAGCATAAGATCCTAATCACCCCCCCTCTAGGGTCTAACAAAAAAGATAAAGGCGAGGAAGGATTGATCTTAGCTTAATAAAAAAATAGAATGAATAAAAGGCAGTATTTTTTGAATATTTTATAGAATAGTTTAATTATTTTGATGGAATTTAGGAATCTTTAGAAAGGAGTTTCATGAGGTTTTTCAATACTTTTATATGCTCGTGTAGATGTTTTTTTTATCATATGAAAGTATACTAGAGTTAGCATTAATCTTTAATTCATAATTTTTTATGAAGTCTATCAATGATTAGGAACAAGCTTTATATTCTCTTTTGTATTATTTTAGCATACTTTTAACCAATCATTTTGCCTTATTGGTTTTAAATATTCACCTTTCTTGTATAACACTGTTTTAATATTTTTTACTTTTGCAACATTGTACTTTCTCAAGTGAAGCTTGGTTTTATGTCAGTCAAAATAATATAAAAATTCAAATTAGCTTCAAATTATATTTGTTTTCTATCAATTCAAATATCAACATAAAAAATTAAATTGAGTGTAGCCCATTTAAATAAACATCAAAGAAAATAAATAATTACAATATTAAAGCTAAGAGACAAAAGTGAGCATAAATTATTAAAGTGTAATTGAGGAACAAATTTTAGTTAGAAAAATCTTACTTCCTTTAAAAGCATGAGTTCGGAAAAATCTTTTCATGGTCAATATTACCATTTACTATTTTAAATATTTTATTTATATCTTAATCTATCCTAATTATAATTATATCATATTTTAATCCTATGTGAACTACCTATAGCTCAACAATTTAAAAAATAATATTAATAAAATAACGTTATGGTATTAGTTTGTTAAGATAAAAAAATATACGTAGCTAATATAGTATAATACATGAAATATTGCAAAAAAAACAACTAAAAATTTTAAAATTGCACCAAAAACCCTAAAAAAATTAAATTTATAAAAACATCTCGACTTTTTAAAACTTAAAACAATAAGCATTAATTAAGAAATTAACAGCATCTATGAATTATTTAAAATTTACAGTTAACACTTGAATGTCTCAAAAATTATAGAAACACCCTCAAAAGTTTAAATTACAAATAAGCACCCTGAAATTCTAAAATTTTAAAACTTTCAAACAACATAAATGAATTCAAGGAATTACCATGATACTCCTAAAATTTTTTAACATTTTAAACTTAGAACAATAAACATAAAATTAAGAAATTAACAGCAGCATCTGAAGAATTTAAAATTTCTAATTAACACGCTCAATGTCTCAAAAATTATAGAAACACACTTAAAAGTTTAAATTATAAAAAACCACCATAAAATTTTAAAATTTACAAACAACAAAAGATGAATTCAAGAGATTGCCTTCATGCACCTAAAAATTTAAAATTTACCAAAATTAACCTTAAAGTTATAAAAAATTGCAACAAAAAACTTCTTCAAAATTTAAAAATTATAAAAAACTCTAAAATTTCAAAATTTATAGCAAATGCACATTAAATCTGGAAATTATTGGCAGATCACTGATATTTGTGTTTTTCAAAAATTAATATTTAATTTTAATAATTACAAAAAGAACCCTTAAATTTTTAGGGTTATAAGAAATATTCTAACATTTAAAAATTACCACTAACACATGAAATATAAACATTACAACTGCCAAACTTAAAAGTATTTTTTAAAAACACTCCTAAAATTTAAAAAATTACAAATCACACTTTTAAAATTTATATATATATATATATATAGAGAAAAATGGAGAACCTTGGTACCAAGTTATTTAAAGCAACTTGGTAGTGATATGGCCTAATCTTACCCCTATATCACATATCGAAGATAGAGCCTCAACCACCCTTTACAAACTTCAATGTAGATGTAGGGATAAGATTAGGCAACATCACTACCTAGTTGCTTGGGGCAACTTAAAAACTAATCGGTGAATGATTAAAAATTTAAAAAGTATATGATATATTTAAAATTATTGTTACTATATAAATCGAAGTAACTACATGTTATTTTACTAATAAGTTGGAGTAGCAAAAATACATTAGTAACATTAATTGATAGATGTTTAAATCTATAAAAATAATAAAAGACTATAATATAATAGCTTAGCATCGATTGATTATAATTTAGAAACATTAATCTCCGATGTTAATAATATTTATAGGGTATAATAATGTAAAGAATTACATATGAAGACAGAATGTTCAGAGATATCATTCAAAAGAATCAAGTTATTTATATTACATATGAGAAAGTGACAGAAATAAATCAAAAAAACACCGACTGAGTTCCATTGAAGAATAATGTGACAACTTTATCTCAGTCAAAGAAGAATTCTCCTTGGAAAATACAAGAAAAATTAGTAAGTATTCATAAATTTCATACTTTGTTCTTCAAATACTAAAGAAATTAAATATTAATACATTAATCTAAGGCAAATTGGTAATAAAAAAATACAGGTATTTAGTTCAGATCTTTGTGGAAAATGACACGGATAAAGTAAATGTAACATTATTGATATATTAAAAACTCTTATTAGATGCACATTAGGAAAATTCATTGTAGAGAAAAAAGAGGTAGCTCTTAATCTTATTTAAGTAATAAATCAGGAACACAAATAATTATATATATGAAATTAAAATTTATTCTTATTGAAATAGGAAAAAAAATCAAAGTCTGTATTTTAAGAAGTTTGTGTTGAACATTAGAAGTACATTCAACTTCTTTGTGAAGTTAAACAAGAAGATAAAAGAATAACGAGCCTAGAAAAGATAACAATGCAAAGAATACAACTCGAGCCTGATATCAAAATCAATGTAGATGATGGAGATACTATTCTAGAATTACCTAAAAAAAGATAAAGGTGAAAAAGATTGATCTTAGCTCAATAAAAATAAAATAAAATAGAAGGAATAAAAGACAATATTTTCTGAATGTTTTATAGAATAGTTTAATTATTTTGAGTGAAAATAGAAATCTTTGGAAGAGAGTTTTATGAACTTTTTTCAGTACTTTTATATGCTTATGTGGATGGTTTTATCATATAAAAGTATACTAGAGTTAACATTAATATTTAGTTTATAGTTTTTATGAAGTCTATTAATGATTAAGAACAAATTTTATATTCTCTTCTATCGTTTTAGTATACTTTTAATCAATTATCTTGCCTTATTGGTTTTAAATATTCACATTCTTTGTATAACACCATTTCAATATTTTTCACTTTTGCAACATTATACTTTCTCAAGTAAAGCTTGAGTTTATGTCAGTCCAAATAATATAAAAATTTAAATTAGCTTTAGATTATATTTGTTTTCTATCAATTCAAATATCAACATGAAATTTTAAATTAGGTATAACACATTTAAACAAAAATCAAAGAAAATAAATAATTACAATATTAAAGTTTAGAAACAAAAATAAACACAAACTATTAAAATAGAACTGATGAATAAATTTTAGTTAGGAAATAAGCCAAAAATAATTAATCATAGTATCTAACTATGTATAAAAGTGTACTCAAATGCTAAAAGTGTACTCAAATGTGTAAATAAATGTGTAAATACGTATAAAAGTGTACTCAAATGCTAAAACCTAGTTCAGTAATAAATGTGTAAATACGTATAAAAGTGTACTCAAATGCTAAAAGCCGCTAAATCATCCCGTCCATTGAATTTAGACGCTTATATATCATAAAAGAGCTTATTTAGATCTTGATGACTCCTATAAACCCCATTTTTTTCAACATTTCCACTCTCCAAACCCTCAATCGCGATGGGCTCCCTCGCGCTCACTTGCTCATCTCCGTCCTCCTTCCTCCGGCGAGTTTCCCGCGCAAACGAGCCCCGTTTCCCTATTTCTCTCCCCAGGTGCGCATTTCAATCATGTTTTGATTTGGTCCAAGATTTCTGCTATGGGTTTGTTTTGATGAGGCTTGATATGGGTTTGATTTGAAATTTCATCTTTGTTAGTTTTTTTTAGTGGAAGCTCTTTGTCTATTACCCAGTTGTCGAAATTATTGTTTTGGAATGGTATTTTACATGGATAGGGCGCTGCATTGGAATTATATTGTGATTTGGTGTAATATTGCTGGTATGGGCTTGGTTAGATTTCATATTTGATTTGTTGTAGTTGGGTTTCCTAGTTTAGATTTTGTATTTGGAAGTTTTTCGCCTATAACCAATTTGTGGAAAGTTTCCATATTGTTTATTGTGATTGACTAGTGAATGTGATGAGTTTCATTTACTTTATTCAGTGAAGATTTTTCATGTACTTTATTCAGTGAAGTTTAGTGCTGTAGGCTATAATTAGCTCCATACCCATCAGAAGGTTAGTACTTTTGATTTTGGATGGTTTTCTAACTTAAATTTTCTTCATAAGTTAGTTGATATTAGTTGTATTTAACTTTTATGACCAAGTGATTTATTTCTTTATTGTTAAATGTTATTTAAACATTATGTTTTTTTTTGTAATTGCACTTTGTTGCTACATGTAGAATCTATTTCTATTTCGTGTTTGCTATAAAATCCAATGTGTGCAGAAGATAAGTGTAGTTGAAAAGAATCTTACAATAAAGTTATGGTTATACGATAAGATATATGATAAGAAATTTGTGCATTCATAAGAGGTTAGAGGTTGCTCTAATCAAGGATAAAATGAAGATGGATCACATGCAACGGACAGGGCTGGCCCTGGGGTAAGCCCACCAAGCCCCGAGGCTGGGGCAACCCAGGGCCGGGGGGAAACCTATCCCTCCCGCTCCTTCATCCCTCAAACTGTAATTAATTTTGATTTTTGAAGTTGACTTTGTAAGAGGACCTTTATGCAAAAATTGTTAGGGGTTCTATTTGTAAAAGAATTCTAATGAATACCCAAAACCCTACCAACTCCTTTATTTCCGTCAGCATTTCCTCTCCTCCTTCCCGTCTCTGTTCTACTCACATAAAAAGAAAAAAAAGAAAGAGAGAAAACCACTCCTCTCCTCCTTCCCGAGCCTTCGACGGTCCGACCTTACTCTGCTCCCATTGGACCCGTCCTTCAGGCTTCACCCCGCGGACTCCTCTAACCCAATCAGGTAAATTTTTTTAACTAAATAATTTTAGGGTTTTTTTGGACAGAAATTTGGAGTTTTGATGTTTTGCAATGAAATCAAGATTTCTGATTTTGAATCTTGGCTGAATCTTTGTTGTTGAATAATTGAATTAGGGGTTGTGATGTTTTGGAATAGGTTGCTAATCGAATTTTGTTACTATCCCCGTTACGGTTGCCTCGGCGGAGAGAAGTTTTTTCAAATTGAAATTGATAAAAAGTTATCTTCGCACTACCATGTCACAGGAACGATTGAATGGATTGGCAATGATATCAATTGAAAATGAATACTTAGAGAAACTTGAGTATGATGACTTAATTGAAGAATTCGCTTCAAAAAATTCAAGGCGAAGAATTTTTCTTTGAATTAACTTGTAGCACAAATGTAATCTCTTCTTATATGAATATTGATTTTGCATGAGAATATTATCAGTTTGAGCCCAATATAGAACGCTAAATTGTATTATATGTATTCATTTTTATCGTTATTATTCGTACCAAATTTTTAATATAAGGGGCAACCAAAATTAGATTGGGCTAGGGCAACCCAAAGCTCGGGGCCGACCCTGGCAACGGAGTCCACAAAATGCACTAGTTAGGAGCATAAGAAAATTATAATTAATGGAGTAGTTAGAGGTATAGGCAGACCTAAGAGTGCTTGGTTGGAAGCAATTAAGAAAGACATGATAGTGGTTACCTATTTACCTTAATGGAGTAGATATCCATTAATAGAACTGTAGGAGGAATATGATTACAATATTCAACCCCAAAAATTTATGGGACAGACTTTGTTTTTGTGTATAGAATCCAAATGGTTGTTGAAACCTTCAATAGTACTTTGGTTTTTTTGCATTCAAGGTTTATAAAAAGTTTATAGTCATTTTCTTTCTTTTTTCTATATTGAATTTTTTCCCTATCCGCTTTGCCCTTTGTGAAATTCTGATTGTTCTGAACTTACATTTTGTTCTCTGAATCCAATATGCAGCCGTTGTCTTCCCAGAAGTCAATGTAGTTGCAAGCCTCAAGGATGGTCCATTTCTACTTCTTTGAGGTTAGTAGTTTTATTGGTATTCTATTTAGTCGTGTTGATCCATTTGAAAAAAAAAAAGATTTAACACTTTTTTTTCAATATTAGGCCAATTATCTACTATAAGAATAATAATGCTTTGTAGATTGAACCTTCTATTTGGCCTAGAGAACAACAATATCTGTGGCTCATCCAAGTCATTTTTTCCTTGGACAGAAATAAATTATTAAATTGAGTTCTACGAGCTTTTCTGATGCTTGGAACCATCTGGATTACTTAATGTTTTTCATTTAGACACATGATTATTTTCAAGATCCTGGTATAAGCTAAAATGCTAGATTATTCTGATTATGAAACAAAAATGCAGTAGAAGTGGGTTGTTTAACATGAAATATTATATATGACAATACCACTCCTCCTGAAGAGCAAGGAAGTTGTCTACAGTCCTGGCATTATATTCTCATTCTTTTACAATCCTTGATCTGGAAATTCTTCTTTTGATAAAATCAAATTGGATCTAGCAAGTACAAGGGGGAATTTTATCATTGATATTTAGTTGTCAAAGTATCTTTTAATACCATCAGATCTGTTACGAGTCTAGTTGGTTGTTCACATTCAAAACCTGGCCATTGTCGTGTAGCTCAATTTTGTTCTTTTACAAGTAAAGTTTGTCTTCCCCTTCCCTGTTTATTGTTTTTTCTTCCAGAAGTATATCCATTCAGTTTTTCTCTGTTAACAAATGCTAGTCAATTAGTCTTGTGAACTTCCTACAGATTCTATGCAAGTTGACTGATATATCTAGGGGAGCAATGATCCACATTTGGGAATCACTATTGCACTATTGCTATGCTTTTGAGTTGTTCTGTGTCATTAGGTGCATCGGTTAATCTTCCTCAAGCTACTCAGCATAATTCTTTGTTAAGAACATCTGTTCACACTTTCACTCTGTGCCATCTCATGGACTCCAAGGAGTCGATCATCTACATTTAATTTACTCCATAAAATGTTGCATTTATAGGATTGATATCAAGTTGAGAGTTGGTAATGAAAATTTAATTAAATCTTTCATTTAGCTTCATGCTCAATACAACACACCATTTATGATAACAAAATCTTGTAAGATGATTTTGAAGATTAGTTACCTATAGGCTTCGTAACAAATTTATCGTAATACTTGAATGAGACAAAATGTCTCTAATTCCCATAGGTATCAATGCTAATAATTGTTCTAGTTAGGTTTATTATATTATCTAAAGTCTTCACCAGGTCAATTTATAGCTCTAACCTCAAAGAGAGATAATATCTTGCTCTCAAAGTAGTCAAATCCCATGAAATTTTAAAGAGGTTCTTTCGTACGTGATAGATTGTTCATTTTTAGCTAAAATATGGTCTCGTGAATATGGAGTGGAAACGTCCATGAAATATTGGAAATGAACAACTGATTAAGCTAGCTGAGCAAGTAAATTATGAAATCTTTATGATTTAGGAAAAAATTGTCTAGGACCCGAAATATGAAGATTCATGTGACTAGACCCTTGCACTTTTCGCCTAAGTGCAAAAGCCCCAAAAATACACATTGTATGTGAAAAACCTCTTTTCAATTGATACCTCATCAGAGGGAAAAAACATCATTTTTATCCCTAAACTACCCTCATCCTCAACCTCTCATCTCTTTTTTCATTTCTCATTAACCCATGAATCATTTTTCTTCCTTCTCAGCTATTATCTCTTTCAACATTGCCTTTCCTATTTCATTCTCTCTTGCTTCTCATCATTTCTCAACCATTGTATTTTTTATTGTCACGGCTCCTCTGCTATTTTCCTCTTTTCTTAACAACCTTTCTCTTATCTTCTTCCGCAACCACCGCGTCGTCACTCAAAGGTCGTCACTTTTGGCTAAAACGGATCGTCTTCTAAAATCACACTGAAGTTAACACCTAATAGTTAAAATTAAACACCTAACAATTAAACTTAATACGTAACCATTCAACTTACACCTAGAAATCAAACTTAATACTTAATGATTAAACTTAACGCTGTAACTCTGAAGTTAACTAGTAAGCTTTAAAGCTAACACGTGAAGTCTAAATAAACTAACAATTAAGCTTTTTTGCCGCCACGGCCTCTTCCATGTCATTTTTCCTCTTTTCTTGACCATGTTATCTTCTTCCAGAAAATTAGTCACGTCCCTCAAATGTCGTTTCTTTTGGCTAAAAGGAACGTCTTTTAGTGTTAAATTTAAAATTTGAGTATTAATTTAAAATATTGAGTGTTGACTATAAAATTTTAAGTGTTAGACTATAAATTTTTAAGTGTTAACTTTAAATTTTAAATGTTATATAAAGATTTTAACACTCAATTTAAAGTTAACTCTCAAAAATGCTGTTTTAGCCGAAGAAGACGACTTTTAGGAACGTGTCAGTGGTTGTGGAATAAGAAAGAGAAGCGATGGTTGAGGAAAGAGAAAAATGACAGAGGAGAGGCCATAATGGCGAAAAAATTTAATTATTAATTCATTTTAGACATTACAGGTTAACTTTAAAACTTACTTGTTAACTTTAAACTTTAATGTTAAATTAAATTGTTAAGATTAATAGGTAGGTGTTAAATTTAACTCATAGACATTAAGTTTAACTGTTAAGTGCTAAGTTTGATTGTTAAGTTGTAACTTCGACGTGGATTCAGGAGATGGCCCATTTTAAGACAAAGATGACTGTTTTTGAGTGACGCAGCGACGATTGTGAAAAGGAGGAGAAGAAAGGAGAGTGGAGGAAGGTGAAGATGAGGAGGAGGGAAAAGAAGGCTGAAATGGAAGTGAATGGGGGTAAGAGGATGCAGATGAGAGGACTGATGAGGAAGGAGAAGGGTGATGAGTAAGGAAGAAGATGAATGGAGGAGGGAGGAGGACATGTGGAGAGGAGGGATGATAATAGTGTGGAAATGGAGAGGAGATGAGGAAGGAGAATGAAGTTGGGAACTTGGGATAGAGAAGGAAGGAGGATGGAGATGAGAGAATGAAGGAGGGATGAAGGAAAGATGGTGGATGTGAAACAAAGAAGAGAGGAGAAGGAAGGAGGTGGAGTTGAGAGAGAAAATACTAGAGACAAAAAGAGGAGAAGAGAAGGAAGATAGAGTGTTTTAGGGATGAGAGGAAAGTATGAGTTGATGAAGCGTTTTTCCTCATGAAAAATGTACTTTTAGGCTTTTTGCACATGGGCCTGGTCACATGAGTCTTTGTATTTTGTGGTTTGGACACAAATTTTCCTATAGTTTATTTGTCATACTTATAATCACCAAAATAAAACTGGTAAAACGACTAAGATCATTAGTTGACAAGATCATCTTTCTACTATTCTTCTTTTGAGGTTTTAATGGTAGATCTCGCACCCTATGATATTAATACGAGTGTATCTTCTTTCTTGCTTCGGGAGCTTAGTGATCCTCATGGGAGCTTGGGGATAGATGATTCTCATGATATCTTGAGAATAGAGACGTGAACGAAGTCGTTGAAGGCGACAAATGCGAAGATTACAGAAGAAACTGTAGGAAACGTTTTGAGCTTCCAGTGGTCGACCGTGAACTGTAGGAACGTGCACAAACTGTAGGAAACGTTTTGCCATCCACGTTGTAAACTCTATAAAGAGAATTGTTTTAGGGTTCTAAACAATCAGAGAAATCAGAGAGGTGAGATCCTAACCAAGAGATTAGGATTTAGAGAGAATTGAGAGATTGTTCTTGATTCTAGAGAGATTGTGAGAGAAGGATTTGTAATCTATTATTCTCATAATCTAGAGAATGTATTTTTCTTCGTCAAAACTGAATTGTTCTTGTGTTTTCTATCGTCTTCTTCTCAACCCACTCTTGATAATTCCGTAATCAATGGTGTTTGTCCGACGACTCGTACTAAGTTGGTATAAGAGCCATGTTAGATCCTGTGAAAGGGGAACCAGTGTATGGTCCTTACTCGATCGCAATATAAGAAGCTAGACAAGATCCTTATTTCTTTGGAAGGAGTTCAGAGATTAAGAAAAAAGATGACTGAAGGGGATAGTTCAGCGAGACTTGATGCATTAGAGAAACAGATAGAGACAATAGGTTCGACTTTCACACAGCTCGTCAATCTTTTCTAAGGAAAGGACAAAAAAGGGGAATCTTTTTCGAAAGAAAAAAAGAAATTTGTAGAGTCTGATGGGGAGGGCGATGAATCTGATTCTGATGAGGATGTCGAGATTGTCAAGATTGTTCCGCATCAAGGGGGTAAGGGTTCTTATCAGAATTTGAAGATAGACTTTAATGTGAAGATTCCTGTTTATGATGGGAGTGTCAACATCGAGAGGCTCGACGATTAGATCAAGCAGATGAAGACATATTTTACTCTCTACGGATATTCATCTAAGAAGAAACTCGTGTTCTCGACCTTGAAGCTTTCGGGATATGCATTGACATGATGAAAGTCCTATTACAAGCAGGAAAGGAAGACGGTATCGTGGAACAAGTTCAAAGAATTATTACGGAAGCAATTCTATCCGGTGGGATTCCTTAATGAGCGTTGGTACAAGTGGTACGGTTTACGCTAAAGAGTCAATCAAACCGTTCAAGAATACACCACTGAGTTCCAACAGCAGATGATGGTTCTCAACATTACGACAGAAGAATATTCTGTGTTTATGAAGTATATGACGGGATTGAGCGATTACATTCGGAAGGAGATGAAGTTATTCATGGTGGAATCTATTGCAGAGGCGAGCGTGAAGGCTATTGCCATCGAAGGCAAGCAAAAGAGGAGCAACGAGGCAAAGGGAGATGTAAAACAAGCTGGAGGCAAGTCTAGTGGTTCTCAATCTAAGGAGGAGAAGGAGAAGGGTGATCTAGGAAAAGTAGGGTGATTTGTAGTCATTACGAAAAGACATGACACGTAGTTGACCGGTGCTAGGAGAGTATTCTCATCTCAAACCAAGGGGGTTGAAGGAGGAGGAGAAAAAAAACATACGTGATCAATACACAGAATATTCTCAAGCTTATGACGGAGCCCAACAATAGTCTCAAGCTTATGACGGGGAAGCAAGCCACGAAAGAGGACGATGATCCTAGAGAGCAGCTTTTTGTTCTTAAGCTACAGGTGAAAACTAGTTTAGTTGATGCCATAGTTGATCCAGGCAGCGAGAAGAATTTGATATCCGAGTCATTGGTTCAGAAGCTGAGTCTGAAGACAGTCAAACATCCAAAGCCCTATCCATTGGGGTGGATTCAGAAGGAGACGGGACTGAGTGTAGTTGATCAATACACTTTCAGATTTGCGCTTCATGAGTTGTATATTGACGAGGTTACGTGCGACGTAGTTCCATTGGATGTTTGTCAGGTTATACTGGGCAATCCCTATTTGTGGGATAGATACGCAATCTACAAGAGACGGGCTCAGAAGTACACATTCACCAAAGATGGTGAAAAGTTCATATTTCGTTCGGCATCTCTTACGAAGGAGACAAACTTGATGACGGTGAACCGAGCGAAGAGGTTAGTGAATGCAAGCAAGAAGTTTGTTGCGCTATGCATTAGTTCTTATGAGGAGCCACTGAAAGAGGGTTGTAATTTGGAGTGGAAGGTGACTACGACGAGATGCGGGACGAATGAGTTGTTTTCGATCAGACGTCGAGACCAGATTCCTAGCAAGGCCAAGTGGTTCAGAAAAGAAGGAGGGGCTCGCGAGTTCCCTCAGCTACAGTTCTAACTTGAACGAGACTTCAAGTTCCTAAAGGAGGGAGCCATAATACGGGTGTATCTTCTTTCTTTTTTCGAGAGCTTAGCGATCATCACAGGAGCTTGATGATAGATGATTCTCATGATATATTGAAAATAAAGACGTGGACGAAGTCGTTGAAGGCGGCAAAGGCGAAGATTACGGAAGAAATTGCAGGAAACGTTTTGAGCTTCCAGCGGTCGACTGCACGTGACGCCGCGATCGATCGCGAACGTGCACAAAATCTTGGAAGGTCTCTGGACTTTTGGCGGTCGACTGCAGCGACATGCACGGTCGACCGGCCAAACCCTGTAATGGGTTTTGGTTTCTATCGTTGGATCCGATCAACCGTGATGGTCTCTGTGGTCGATCGCGACAGTTTCCTGAGCCTTCCTGGTTCGTTTGGGACTCTGTTTTCCTGTTTGATTTTGGTTTGTTTAATTACAAGTTTACCATCCACGTTGTAAACTCTATATACAAAATCCTGAAAAAGGTCTTTGGACTTTTGGTGGTCGACCGCAGCGACATGTGCGGTCGACCGGCCAAACCCTGTAATGGGTTTTGGTTTCTGTCGTTAGATCCGGTCAACCGTGATGGTCTTGCGGTTGACCGTGACGGTTTTCTGAGCCTTCCTGGTTCGTTTGGGCTGGAAAAGAGAATTGTTTTAGGGTTCTAAACAATCAGAGAAATCAGAGAGGTGAGATCCTAACCAAGAGATTAGGGTTTAGAGAGAATTGGGAGATTGTTCTTGATTCTAGAGAGATTGTGAGAGAGGGATTTGTAATATATTATTCTCATAATCTAGAGAATGTATTTTCCTTCGTCAAAATTGAATTGTTCTTGTGTTTTCTATTGTCTTCTTCTCAACCCATTCTTGATAATTTCGCAATCAAGGGTGCTCGTTCGGCAACTCGTACCAGACATGGAACAAGTTGTTGGAGAAATTCGCATTTATGTATAGCGCACTTAATAGATGAAAAGTACATATCAGGAGCTTCATTTACTACATGGTTTGGTGAAATATAGTGTGGGTTAAAAAAAATAGCCCAAGCAATATTACTCAAGTAGGATCCTAATGTTGTGAAGACCATGAAACATCGTAAGCTACAACACCACCAAACTGTATCTCAGATTTAATATTATAATCTAGTTTTCAATTTTAAATGTCCTGTTATTGTTTGAAATTTCAAATGAAATTTGAAATTCTTAGATAGATGCAATAATAATCTCATCTTAATGAAGAACTATTTATTATCCTTTGATCAAACTATCTACCAATTTCCATGATATATTAATCCAATAATTTCATTGTGATAGGTTTTTTTCAAACAAATGATGATACATCTTAATGCTTCCTTGTAAATGTGACAAAATTGAGTGGAGAAAGGTTTGTTATTTTTATAAAAAATTATGTTGTAATTGTTGGCAGCCTCCCTAAAGAGGACATAAAAAATAAAACACATCAAATTATAATACTCTGCCCTTTTTTGTCTATCTAAACCGATAAAACTTAAAATAAATACGGGTTTAAAGAAATTGAGTACAGATGTCTTTATTTAATCAATTTATTGAATTGACAGTGAACCATGAAGGTGATCGGGATTCGGGTATATTGGTTAGAAATATAAAAACAAGTTCTTTCTTAGCTCCCTACGTCAAGATCCAAAACTTGTTGGAATTTAAAATCCACCCAATTGCAATAACAACATTGTTACACTATATTGTTTAGAACATATCATTACAAATGAGAAAAAAAATTGGTATTGATTTACAATTTTTCATTCTTACCAATTTATCACCTCCATTGCAGTGATACCGACTATAATTATGTCTGTTATCTGTTGCTTTTGACACTTGAAGCTTGATATCACTATTAAAAGCATAGGTCTTTTCAGTATTAACTGTTAGCAGTAGTGATGATTGCTGGTTTTTAATGTGCTGCTGGCAGTAATAAGATTTTTTTCTTTCTTGTATTTTTAACCCTCATTTGAGTGATTACGTTGCGCCCTAAATCTTGTGATTTTCGTCCAAGTTCTTTCTATATTTTGATAAAATATGTTATATCTGAATATTTAAGACTATGCTTATCAGAGAATCTTGAAAATTGATGCTTATTTACCAGGCAATATAACTGGTAATAGAGATTTTATACCATAGTTCACATTCACATCCCTACTAACGCTGGAGCAGCTTCTATAGTATGACAGTCTTTTGTGGGTTGTACTGCATAAAATCTAACTGTAGGTGTGCTTTATCTTTAACTATTTCAGGATAGGTTGTTCTTTGGAGAGGGCAGGAAATGCCACGCCTAAGAACCTTCATGTTGCCTCAATTGCAGGTAATGCTTCTACTTTACTCAGGTATAAACTTATGATTTTTTTTTTATGGAATCGTAGTTTTTCTTTTATCAAGTGGGGTGTTTTATTCTGCATGACTGATTTAACATCTGCTCGGTTCTCTGTTATCGGTTTGGAAGGATAAAGATAATCTGTATTCCTCCTAACTTCATTTGAAAGCTGATACAGATAATGATTTAAAGGAGGACTATAAAATGCATGTCTTTTAAAATACACATGTTTATTCTATGAGGCAAAACTATGTTATCAAGTATTACAGGAAAAACCCCATACTTTATTGTTTGTTGTTTGCTTCGCTCTTTTGTTCGTTCTCATAGTTAGACATTCTCATAATAATACATTTTCTAAACTTGCGTTTAGCACACCAGAGATTTGGTCCAATTATGCCTTATGTCTTTGCTTGCTTGCGTTATTTAATTTCTTTCACATCTTTCCTTTTCTTGTCACTTGTTTACTTCATCTTCCCTGCCTTGTACATCTTTTGTATTACCTTCTCCAATATTTGCAACCATGATCGATGGCACCATGTCGGCTCTTGGACAATAAGACTTGCTTTAATATTGAATTTGTATTGTATTTCGTTATATTTCTCTAAACATGACAATTTGCTTACGACCTCCTCCATTTACGCAGCTGTTTCCCCTGAAGAAACCATAGAAAACTCTTCTCTTCCAAAAGGTGACATGTGGTCTGTTCATAAATTTGGTGGGACATGTATGGGCACGGCTGAAAGGATTCAAAGTGTTGCAGATATAGTTTTAGGTGATCCTTCAGAAAGAAAGTTGGTAGTGGTTTCTGCGATGTCAAAAGTGACAGATATGATGTATAATCTGGTCGACAGGGCTCAGTCGAGAGATGATGCATATTTGTCGTCACTTGATGGTGTTTATGAAAAACACATGTTAACAGCAAAGCAGCTTCTTGAAGGAGATGATCTTGTTCGATTCTTATCTCAGTTGCATAGTGACATCAGTAATCTGAAAGCAATGCTTCGGGCAATATACATAGGTTTGAGCTATTCAATTCCTCTTATTGCTATTTACCTAATATCTTTAAAATAAAGTTGAAATTAAGCTGTAGAAGTGCTTTGTAGTTCTGCTGTACATAATCCTTGGTACAAGTGACATAAGATTAACTGGGTGGTGATAATGTGCTCAGTGCGCACACAGAGACACAGGATGTTACTTGCTGTTTTATTTGTTTATCTAGATGCATCCAAATCTCATAATTATCTATATGTTACTTTCTGTTTTTAATCCCTAGAGCTTAACTGTCAGCATCAGAATAATAAATAATAATTGAATGAGTAAAACTGCTTCGGAATTTTGGAGTATTTAGAATGCATCCGAAACACGTCAGCTAAGGAGAGGGGGGCTAATATAGACAACACCAATCAGATATTAGTACTTCTCCATCAAACTGACTGTTGTTTACTTGCTATAGTCATGTTTTTATTTGAAAACCTTGTTGCAATGTTTCATCCTTTGTTGGAGAAAAGCCTGTATCTATATATAGTATTTTTTCGTATGTCCTTGCACATATACTGGAGACTAAAAGCATATATATTCTGCTTTTGTTTAAAATGGATGTGTAGATGCCTTGAAAAGAAATGTATTTCTTGACTTAATTTGGATTCATTGAATTATATGAAGTATATTCATGTAGTCTTGTTATTATTTTGTTTCTCCCTTCAGCTGGTTAGTGCTTGGATTCATTGAATTATATAAACTGTATTCATATAGTCTTGTTATTATTTTGCTTCTTTCTTCAGCTGGTTAGTGCTTATGCTTTACCTTAAGTTTATTCTGTTGTGTTTTGGCATTGATGATTATCAGCATTATTTTCTCATATACTTCACATATTTTGCTGTGGGCCATGTAACTGAATCCTCTTTATAATTTATTATTGGTGCATAACCTTAAGTGTTTTCTTTGTGTCCTTTTCTTACTCATTGATGATTATCAGCATCAGTTTCTTATATCTTTATATATTTTGCAGCCGGTCATGCTACTGAATCCTTTTCAGACTTTGTTGTTGGTCATGGAGAACTGTGGTCTGCTCAAATGTTGTCATATGTTATAAGAAAGGTTTCTCAGCTGCATAGTAATTGTGGAGATTAATTATTTAATTAGATTTCCAGAAGTATTCTATATCCTTTATCTCTTTGATGCAGAGTGGAAGGCCTTGCAGTTGGATGGATACTCGGGATGTCCTCATTGTAAAGCCTACTGGAGCCAATCAAGTAGACCCTGACTATTTTGAGTCAGGGAAAAAACTTGAAAAGTGGTTTACCGGGGATATAGCTGATACAATAATTGCGACTGGATTCATTGCCAGTACGCCTAAAAACATTCCTACGACTTTGAAAAGAGATGGAAGTGATTTCTCAGCAGCAATAATGGGTGCTCTTGTCAAGGCTCGTCAAGTAACTATATGGACTGACGTCGATGGTGTATATAGTGCAGACCCGAGAAAAGGTTCCTCTTATCTAATTTTTGTTATGAAACATTTTTCATCATTTCTCACAACATTTTCTGTTTTAGTTTTATTTAACTTCATATCACCTTAGTAAACTTTATATGTGCTGCTTAAGATAATAAAGTTTTAAGGGGATTCCTTGGTGAAATCCTCATTTCTACATTTGGGTCAATTTGGTCTAAGGGCTGTTTGGTTGGTAGTAAATGGTTAGCAGAAACTCCAATCACTATGTAAGTTTGTATTAACAGTTTTCTATGGATGTAGTCAGGTTACTGACCTGAAAATGAGTTTGTTGGCTGCAGCCAAAATTTTACAAGTGGTGTGATAAATTGCTTGCCACACTACTTGTTGCTTCTCATGCTATGAGCCTGTAATTTTATATATCTTTCTACTTGTCATTTCACCAAAGCGACTACATGCAATGTCATTTACGACTTAGGAAACATTGGGGCTCTAATTTGTGCAGCACCAAATACCGCAAACCATTTACTGCAACACCATTTTTAAGGTGCGTTATACATACAGCTGACCTAACAGGATTATTTGTTGCAAAAGCAGAGTGTACATGGAATAAGTATGCTGACGCACTTGTTAAGTGCGAATAAGATGCTAAATTCTGAAACATAAATTTTGATTTTTCTGTTGTGTTCATCTGCCTAGTACAAGGACATAAGTTAGAATCATTCATTTAAAATTCCATATGAAAAAAATGATGAGGTTATAATGACTCTTCAACCGGTCTAGCAATGTTTCAAGATAATGGTTTCGAATTTACATTTTCTTTATAGTAGTCTCTGCTGAATACTATGGCCTATTAGACTACATATTCCTTTGAATCGCACAAAATTTAAATAGCTTTGAAGGATGGAATGCCTTAACTCAACTAATAAAACAGCTTAAGATAAATTACAGTGCTGAATAACTCGTTCTCTCTGCAGTTAGTGAAGCTGTGATACTGAGGACGTTGTCTTACCAGGAAGCATGGGAAATGGTCAGGTTTCTAAGCATGTGTTTTGAAATAAGTTGGAATATATCTGGCAATTTCTGAAAATTTAACCTTTCTTTGCAGTCTTATTTCGGGGCCAATGTTTTGCATCCTCGCACCATTATTCCCGTGATGAAGTATAACATTCCTATTTTAATTAGGAACGTTTTCAATCTCTCGGCCCCTGGAACAATGATTTGCCAACAGACTGGGAATGAAAATGGGGATGAGAATAGTTTGGAGTCTTGTGTCAAAGCATTTGCTACCATAGACAACTTGGCCCTTGTTAATGTTGAAGGGTGAGGTCACTTTGATGCTGCAGTTGCTGCTGCATCTTATTATTGTGCCCTTCCATCTTGTCACTTGTGTTCATTTAGTATGTTCTCTTGGTTGTAGAACTGGAATGGCTGGTGTTCCTGGCACAGCTAGTGCTATTTTTGGTACTGTTAAAGATGTTGGAGCTAATGTTATCATGATATCTCAGGTATATTATACAGTTTTGCTGTCTCTTGGAGGTGTGCTAACGATTAAAGCTAATATTAGGTTTTTGCAGGCTAGTAGTGAGCATTCAGTTTGCTTTGCTGTGCCAGAAGAAGAAGTAAAAGCAGTTTCTGATGCATTAGAGTCTAGATTTCGTCAAGCTCTGGACGCTGGAAGGCTTTCTAAGGTATAAAGTTTTTTCTATGATCCATATACCAACTAATGGGCATTTTGATGTGTTGCCATTAACATTTGGCATTCAATTGTAATAGAAAATTCCTTTCTGCTAGAAACTAAGTGAATAAATCAACTCTTTCGCAGAATAGCTTGTACAGTCATACTGTATGCATGTATATCTTGTTGAGAAATAGGGGAAAGTTGGCTCATGAAAATAAAGGAACTGCAATTGAGTTGGTGTACAATCTTGACAATGCTATCAAGATCTATATTCAGTGCCACTTCTTTGATCCCGGTCATAAATGGCATCTTTAATGTGGATCAGACATTGGCTTATCAGATTTAGCTCTTACGGTCTCCAGTTAAAACTTGCAATCAGGTAGGTCTTCCAATACCACTCAAGTTGTACCCTTCAATGCACTTGAAAAGGCTTTGGAAGTATAAATATTTGAAACAACTGCATGGGTTCTCTGAGAAATGCCTGAGGAGTAAGTTTCATAGGAGTTATAAAGTTCATGAATGAACCTAAATGTTTGAGGACAAAGCACACTCCGAAGTAATCGAAGTAGCACATAGGTGTTCCAATACCACTCAGGTTGTATCCTTCAATGCACTTGAAATAGCTGTGGAAGTATAGATATTTGAAACAATTGCATGGCTTTCTAAGAAATTCCTGTGGAGTAAGTTTCATAGGAGTTATAAAGCAGAGTTTGTGAGTGAGCCTAAATGTTTGAGGGCAAATCATACTCCGAAGTAATTGAAATAGCACATACAAGCGATCAAAAGCAAACCATCACACAAGTCAAAGCTAAAATAAGCATGAAGGACATGGATCTAGAAGGAAGTGGGTCTTGATAAATAACAAAGCAGCAACTGGAATTCCTTCAGCTTCTCAAGGAGTGTAGCTGGGGGAAGATATTTGGAAAAATCAAGAAAAATGGGGAGGTTTTTAGGTGAATTGGTTGTCTCGTGAAGTAGGTTAGGTGCAAAGTGGGGTTCCAACAAAAGCAAAGGGAGGCTAGTTGTGACTTAATAGCAGGAGGATCTAGTGAGATGGCTGATAAATCACCTTTCTAATGGATCTATTTAAATATGACTTCTGTTACACAATGTACCTTTAAAGTGGTACGTGTATATCTCTCTTAAAATACTTAAAGAAGGAAATGATTAAAATTATTGTACAAAACAAAGTATAAATAAACAATCTTTGTTACTTACCATTTGATGGTTTATAATGTACTTAGACGTGTATCTGCTCCGAAAAAACCTACGTGTTTATATCTGCAATTGTGTGTTAACTGTTAGGTCTCATGTTTATGAGCCTACTATCTAATCTAGTTTTGATGATTAACAAACAATTCCTAACATCGTTTATCGAGTGTTTGTGTTTGCTTAGGTACTCTACACAAAGATCCTCTATCGGAGGTTGGTTGGACTTGCGCCTTCACGATGATATTCAAAGGAGGTTGGAAGTAAATTAGGAATGAAACCGTCGCAATTCAAGTCGAGATTCATTATCGCTTCATCCGTTACTTAGATCGAGCTTCACGAAAACCTCTAAGCTTGGTATATTGTTTATAGTGTTTTAGGTTTGTACTTTATGTGTTATGCTTAAAGCTCAAACCACACACATACACGTTTTTGCTTTATAGCTTTCAAGCTTAATCGTATAGATATGAAACAAATAGTTATATTTATATATATATATACTTGTTTCATATTTATTATCTTTATTTGAAAAATAATGTGTTTATGTATTAAAGACTTGTTTACACTATTTTATATCTTTCCTCAAGTCTATTAATCTATTTAAAAGTGTTTTCAAAACTTGTTTGAAAGAAATTCGTCAAAATCAAGTTTTAACAAGTTCGTATATTTTACCGATTTTGCAAAATGATAAGTTTTCATAAATGGGAAATGATATTTTAAAAATTTCTTTGCTAACATGTTTATATTCATGTATATAAATATTTTCCCGAGTTTCATAATTTTTGGAATTCATTTGCTATTTTTAAACACCCTTTGAAAATCAGATTTACTGTTCAAAATCGGGCTGTGCATGTTTATCAATCGACTGACACCGTTCATCAGTCGACCGATGAACTGCTCTGTAATTGTTGAAAAGTTTCTGCTCAGTCGATCTATCTTCATCAGCCGACTGAACAATGTTTTCAGTCGACCGATGACTTGCATTAGTCGATCGATAAACTATTATATATTTTCAGTTTAGTTTCTGCTCAGTCGACCAGTCTCCATCAGTCGACTGAACAATGTTTTCAGTCGATCGATGGGTCTCATCAGTCGACTGATAGTTTTGCAGAATCAGCTAACGGTCAGCTCATCAGTCGACTGAACAGTGCATCAGTCGACCGATGGCACTGTAATGACTATTTTCAGTTTTGCTGATTTTCATGGATTTTGTGTTTTTCTTGGGTTTTAGAGTTTTGTTTCAAGAACCTATATATACCCCTCAGTCCTCAACACTTATGTTTAACCAAGAAAAGTTTTAAACAAGTTTGTGAGTTTGTTCAAGTGTTTTAAAGAAAAATTTTAGTGTGTTGTTTATGTGAAGAGAGTTTCACAAGAGGAGATCAATTCGTTTTGAGCATCAAGTTTTCACATCTCTATCTCTCTTGCTTGTTTTAGAGAAGTTTTTCTAAACTCATCTTCTAGCTATTTGATATTTTGATTCTTATATATTTATGCTAGATTGATTTGAGTTTTATTTCATCATACTCATTGTTTTCACACACAACCACTTGAGCTTAAGTTATTTCACATATTGTATATTTTGGGTTGTGAGAGTGTAACAATTGAGTGAGCTTTCATTTTAGTTCTCATCTTGTTTAGAGAACAAAATCTTTATTTGAGCTTATTTTTGTGAGATCAATTTGTAATACATAAGGACACTTAGAGGAGTTGTTGGGATAGACCGTGATCAATTCTAAGAGGAGTGGCGTTGGTTGTAAAGCCTAGGGAGAGGTAGTAAATCCAAGCATTTGAAGAAGGTGACACGAGTAGGCCAACACTTAGAAGAGTGTATTGTGTATTGATAATCATGTGATTTGTAAACGTTATCGGTGAGCGTTGAAAACCGACTGTGTAGTGATTTTTATTGTGATAGTGGAGAATCTACTTGAGGGTGAGGAGCGGAGACGTAGGTCAAGGGTGATCGAACTCCATGATCATATTGTTTGTTTGTGTTTGGTATTAGCGCATTTATCATTGTCTCATTGTTTATATCGTCTATTGCTCATTGTATGTCCTTGCATATTTCTTTGTATATTATTGTTAGGGTATATTAGTTAATAAGTTTTAATTTGACATTAATATCGGATTAGATTAGCAATTACCTTATTCACCCCCTCTAGAGTACTTTCATTAACAATGGTAATGAAAGTGCTAGCACCTTTGAGATGCCAAACCCACTCCTAGATTGCAGCCCCTCTGTTGTTCCTCCCCTCTGTTGCCTCCGGAGGGCTCAGTGTTCTTGTTGCCTTGCAGTATTTGCCCATTTTGTCCACCATTAGCTAGAGAGAAGGGCTAGGCATGAAGCCCTAGCCCATAGTTGTATGGAACCCTGGTCGTTCACGGGATGAGTACGGGAGAGTGGTACGCTTCTCATTAGGAATCGGGTACGAGGGGGTAGGCTTATACGGTACGCGAGGGTAAGTGATACACTTTCGGTTCATTTCTTAAATGTAGGAACGAGAGGTTTTGCAAGAGTCAAATTTAAGAAATATGCTAGTTGAAATTAGTAATGGTTAAAAAAAAACCTTGACAATCATGTTGTAATAAGGTATGCATACTTTATTTGCTTAATTTCATGTGTTTTTTAGTGTTTACTCTTTTAAAAAATAGTTTTTTTTTCCAAATTTTAACTGGCTTTCACGTGAATAAGAATTGTTGGGCGCGGCGAAGCGAGTGCTTCTAGTATTTCGTGGAACGTGGTGGATATAATTTATAATTTTATACCTATAATTTCGAAATATTTCATGCTCAGAAGTTACACAACAGAAGATGCTGCGGGATAAGGATAAAAAGTGCGGGATACAAGTACAAGTGCCATAAAAAATGTAACGAAAGCTGAGAATTTTAAATCGACCGCTGGAGTTGGTGAATCGGGTCATGTTCCACACGAATTTAGGACGATTGAACCCGGTCACGGGTCTCTATAGCGTCCCCAGTTCTGACTTCTATGCCCTAGTCCCTATGGTAGAAGCAGGGACCCAAGGCTTATTGTATCCCACACCTTTCTATTGTTAGTTCTCCATGGCTTACCTATATCTCAAATTCTCAATGTTTCCCTGTGATTTTTTTTTGCTCTACTTGTGAACCATGAACTCAAAGAACACAGAATAGATGAACAGAAGAAAATGAATAAGAAAATTATTTTTTCGACGAGTCTTTTGCATTTTTGACATAAAGCTATAATTTCTGGACTATTTTCTCAGGTTTGAATTCTCACTACAATTTTTTTATGCTACTTGCTCCTGGGCGGAACTTTCATCTGTGTTTCCATCTTTTCCTCTTTTGGTAACTTAGAACTTCTTTTTGCAGGTTGAGGTCATCCACAATTGTAGCATCCTAGCTGCAGTTGGCCAGAAAATGGCAAGCACTCCTGGAGTTAGTGCTACTCTTTTTGATTCATTAGCAAAGGTATTTTCTGGGTTATTTTTCAAGAAAATCCTTTGTAGGTTATGATAATATATGTATGGGAAGAACTCACAACTTAGCATACTAAACTAGTCTATTTCCTGGATTATATTTCGAGAAAATCCATGTAGTTTATTACTTATTACAATATTTACTTATGGGAATTAGTGAATTACTGAACTAGTATTATCTTTCAGGCTAACATAAACGTAAGAGCTATAGCCCAAGGTTGCAGTGAGTATAACATCACTGTGGTACTGAAGCAAGAAAACTGCGTAAGAGCACTACGGGCTGCACACTCTAGATTTTATCTCTCAAAAACAACATTAGCCATGGGCATAATTGGACCTGGCTTGATTGGTAGTACACTACTCGACCAGCTTAGGGATCAGGTACCTGAAATGTTAGATTCCTTTATTGTGCCTGTTACTATTTCCTTATCTGACATGCAGTAGCTGGATACATCAGTAAGTAAAACTCTCAATACTTGCATGTTCTTTCTGTATCAGAGAGTTTTAAGGCATGTTTGTTTCATTTATATAACAGATTATTTGTTCATTGGCAGAAAACATCTTAGCTTATGTATTTCATCTTTTCTTGAACTGATTTATTATTGACAACTTATTTATTCCTTCTTTTGATTTATTTCACATTTCCCTTCTCTTTCTCTTCACCCCCACCCCCATCTGCTCAGTACTTTTTTTCCTGTTGCTCTCTCAGTTAGATTTTAAGGGGAGGAGAGGATGGGGGAGATGGCATTCACTGCTGGCAGTCTCCTCTTTCCCCAGATTAGTTCATTGTTGGATGCCTTATGGTTGCTAGGGTGAGCAGGAATATTCTCTGCAACCTTATGCAGTAGCCTAGAAGCTAGACGGGTTGTTTCATATAAGGTTGATGCCTTCCCGTCTTAATTGATACTTTACTCTCGTAGACAACCCAGGCCTAACTGACCGTTTCTTGTGTTTTGTGACTTGCTTATATTATATTATAGTGGCTTGTGAAGCCTTATATATGCGCTCATGCTCTCTCTATGTACTAAGCTTTTGTTTGCCTTTTGCCCTTTTATTGTGCTTCCAAGGAGAAGTCCTCAATGAACGTTTCTTTGCTTTCCATGTATATGTGAGGTTCATAGAGATAAGACAGCTCAAGGACAATTGAGGTAGAGTTACATCCTAGCGGTTAGATTTGAATTCAAATAATAGATATATGGGTTTCAGTGGTTACGAGGCGGCGGGTCATTTAGCAAAATGAGCTAGCAAGAGCAAGAAGTGGTAAGATCCACAACTTTCGAGGTAACTTGAAGGGTGAGCCTCACAAATACCGGTTATTAGAAATATATCGGACAACCAAAATTCATATCGGATCCCGATTATCAGGGATAAATCGGGGATAAGTAGTAAAAATTGGAATGTGGATGGTGAGCATATATAATATAATGTCCTACAATGTAATCTAAGCACATTTAATGAAATATCCGAAGAGGTTCTTCGAGCGAGGCTGTCGACAAAGGTCTTCGAGTGAGAATCTTGCTAGCGATTTGGGGGAGAGAACAATGGAGGTAGAGATTTGGGTCACGTGATGAGCGGATGTGAAGTAGAATAAGATAGCACACTTTTTGTTTAGTGGATGTGGTCGGTTATGGAAAAAAGAGGTTTTTGCCTCCAAATCCTAACCGATTCACTTAGAATGTAAATTGTAGGAAATCAGGTAATTTTTAAGCCATGAGAGATCGGCCACTTTATCAGATTTACACCAATATGTCGGGACAAATTGATCAAAAATGATATGCGATAAATTTTTTCGGAAACCGTATTGGACATGGCCTAAGCCCTATAATCAGCGATGAATCGCTAAAATCGGCTAATTTTTAAAAGACTAGCCCTCATTACATGGCTATCTCTTAATAGCTTTTTTAGCAAAATGAGCTTCCACCTCTTTCCCAATTTTTGCTAGGTATAATATCTAGGTATGGATTATAGACATAATGATGGGTATAGATTACTGTATCATGGTTCTTCAATGATTCATCAATCTTCGATTTGTGTCAACTTGTTTCTACTAATAGTTGCATACCAATTGGGCTTGCAAGAAAGTTGAGTTAGGAGAAAAAACATAGGAGATTATCTACATAATTTAGTATCATCTTCATGTTGCTTGTTGACTTGAATCTGATTGTTGATCCTTCAAAACTTTGGAGATATCAGTTCACATAATTGCTCTTGTTAGTTCATACGTCATAGTTGTAAACGAACCGAATGTTAGTGATAGTATACTCTGATGAATGGATAAGGAACCATTTTCTTTTTTTTATGCTGAACATTTGCTTGTGCATAGGAGTTTCAACATTTTTAAGGGTAACATCCTCAAGAAACATTTTGTATGTTGTTTTTCATTACATTATCAATTACTTAAATATTTATTTTCTTTTTTTTTGTGTGTGGTTAGGGGGAGGGGTTAACAGGGATAATATCAGAATGTTATTTATTTAAGTATTTCTCAACCTTTCTTCGTTCCATTAAATTGACTTCTAAAGAAATGTTCAAAACATATTGCATAATGCCAAACCACAAGGTGACAAGATGCATACCATGTCTAGAGAAGATTTTCCTTTTCTCTTCCTCTTATTCTCTTCTGCTTTGCAACATAAAATTGTTCAATTTTTCTTGGCTAGATCTTAGAGTAACAATTCTAACCCAATAGATCTCACCGATTAACACACTCAACTAATTCCAGTTTAAGATTAGGATAAGTTTCATGATTAATTGAGAAAATAAAGATAACAACAAAGAATTTGTATTCTTTAAAAATTTATGAGCAACATATTGTGCAAAATATACTGTCAACAATGCAAACTGCGGAATCATGACTAACCCATTTAAGCTAATTGTAGTAAACATTATATTAACTGTCTTATATCATGTAAAAATAGTAATATTTCAAACTTTCGTGCTACATTATGCTATCTATATTCTCACTCCGTCCTAGAGATATCAGTTTATCAGTAAGTACGGTGCCCTTATTCTGACACGATCCAATATTCATGTTTTTTTTGCGTATCACTGCATTTTATGAGAATAAGGGAGATGAGCATCCAGTCTACGAAGCTTGATATAAATGAAATCGATGATGAACGATCTAAAATGGATGATCCAGAGTCTTCACGCTCCATTCAAATGAATGATAAACACCAGTCATCATGATTTCTTTGCCTTCAAACATATATAGATGAGCAGTGATCATCATTTGCCCATGAATTAAGTGGTTTCACTAGTATTATTTAGGTACCATTCATTCATTTTACAACCACTTGATGGATGAAGTCTTTAACCTCTTCATTTTTACCAAGGTGCAATATAGAGATTGAAGACATGATGACTAGTGCAAGCCATCCATTTGGATGATCCATCATAGCTTTTCTAGTGGCTGTTAGAGGAAATCTTTTACGCATGCTTGTCATCTCCCTTATTCTCTATTTTATTTTACAGTAAGTTTTAGACCTCTTATTCTGTCATATTTATTATCCATTATTTATAGTGTTATGCTTTTTATTGCATATTATGAGATAAATTACAATGGACTATATGTCTTAAATCAGGATGTCACCTTCATTTTTTCGTTAATCTTCAGGCTGCAGTTCTTAAGGATAAATTTAATATTGACTTGCGTGTCATGGGAATTACTGGATCAAGGGCGATGATTCTGAGCGAATCGTAAGCTACTCTGTCAACCTTATGTCTCCTTTCATAACTTCCATTAGTTTTCTTGTTATTTTATGAAATGAAGGTACTTATAACATTACTTGTGATGCATGTTTATTTGTATCATGTGCTTCTCTTGAAATTGTCTCGAAGTTATCAGCGTGATAAACCTACAGAACGAATGCTTATGTAACATATAACACTGAATACTTAATGAGGGAGCATATATGAAATTGTCTCGAAGTTATGTTTCTTTTATATAAAATTGTCAGTATGATTGACCTATAACACTGAATACTTAATGAGGGAGCATATATAGTCTTCAAAGCATTATCAAATGAATGCTTTTAATGCATCTAATCTTTTGAAGGATAAGAAAATGTTCACCTTCCTTAGTAGAAGGTAAATGACAAGCTTACTATCATTACTTGTCTAAAGCTGTCTAAAGCAGAAAAATATAGAATTTGAGTTACGGTTACATCCATGTCTTGTTGTTCCCCTTGGATCCATACTGATCTTCATCAGATGAACTTGGCAGGAAGAAGGGAAAAATGAGCCCTCAAAGAATAACTTTTGTAAGAAACTTGCTTAGGTTTCATAATTCCTAGGAATACGCCCTCTGATTATAGTTGAAATTCTTGGAGAGATTCTACTAACTTAAAAGTGTTAAATTTGAACTCAGCATTATCTGAATTTTCCATCAACCCGTAAGGAACTATAAAATTATAGCCCTCAACCCTCAACACAACTTTCGAATCTTGGTCTAGTGACAGGGATCTTTAATATGGTATTATCAGATCAACCAAGGTTCAAATCCCACCAGCCATGTGTTAGACCCTAGAGGGGGGTGATTAGGGTCTTATGCTAATCTAATCCGATTATATACCAATTAAAATTAATTAACAAGATATCCTAGCAAGTATGAAATACAATCAATATATATGAGCTAGGATGAGCAATATGAACAATGAGATATATCCTATATGATAGAAATATATGCAAGGATATATAAACAATAAGATATATCCTAACAAAGAGATATAGACAATGTATGTGCAAGGATATAAAACTAACACAAGGATAAACAATATGAACTAGATAGTGGATCATATAAATAATGAGCTAATGACAATGGCGACAAGAAATATAAACACAAGTATAAATAAACGCCAAATCACACTCAAACACAAGATATGATCACGGAGTTCGGACCTTCCGTCCTTTGTCTCCGCTCCCCACTCCCTGGGAGAAATCCACTATCACAACCGGGTTTTTTACGTTCACCCGAATAACGTTTACACCTCACACTCGGTTTTCTAGCTAACCGAAAACTTTACAATCACCACTCTTGCAATCCCACTCTACACCCACTAAGTGTTGAACTAGACGTGTCTCCCTCAAGTGCTCGGTTACGACCTCTCCCTAGGTTCGTCAACCGACGCCACTCCTCTTGGGACGATCCCCGACTCTCACCACACACTTCTCTCGGTGTACAAATGTATTACAAAGTAATCTCACAAATAAGCATAAATATAACAAATGATTGTTCTCTAATATGGATGAGAACACAATGAAAGCTCACACTCAATTGTTACAACTCTCACCAACCCAAATATACTATGTATGAAAATACAATAAGCTCAAGTGGGTGTGTGTGTAAACAATGAGTGAAATCAAATCAAATCAAACTAAACTCAAATATAAATACTAAAAACTAAACTCAAATATAAATACTAGCTTAATAGAATGATAATCAAACAATACAAAATGTAAAGCTAGAAAGAGTTTAGAAATTCTTCTCTGAAAATTTAATAGAATGATAATCAAACAATACAAAATGTAAAGCTAGAAAGAGTTTAGAAATTCTTCTCTGAAAACAAGATGGAGAGGAGGATTGAAATGAAGTTCAGACACTGTGAATGATCTTCTCCACTTGTAAAAAAATCTTCAAACCAAACAGACTTTGAACCCAACTAAAACCCTTTTCAAAACTCTTTCAAACTTCTTTTTAAAAACTATTCATTGGGTTTCTCTTAGAACTGAGATCAAGGGGATATTTATAGCCTCCCAAAACCTCAGCCAAAAAACCCCAAACAAGAGACCAAAAAGCCCCAGCCAACGGTAACAAGAAATAGCCGTTGGAACAGAACTGACAGAGCGGCGGTCGACCGAAAAAATTCGCGGTCGACAAAATTCCAAAAAATATAAAACTTTGGGGAATGATTGTAGACATGATAATAAACATGCTACAACGACTGGTTTCCAAAAAGGACTTCCCAAATAAAAAATATCATCATTTTGTAAAATAGTCCAAAACATGAAAATGTAAACATATGAATTTTGACATTTAGGCTAAACCATATTTTGAAACTTTGCACAATGATTTTATAGACTTAATAAAATATGTATAAACTGATATTGAAGTCTATAAACTAATAAGACAATATTTTCACAAAATTACATATTCTATGCAATATATACTAAAACACAATAATAAATATGAAACATGTGATTTCATATTTATAAACATGAAAACTCAAAAACACATGTATGTATATATATAACTATATATATACATAGAAACCAAAACTTATGTATATATATAACTATATATATATACGAAGAAACCAATAAATGTGTGTATATGATATTGAGCTTAGAGTATCTAACACACATAATATAAGCCCTAAACTAATTTACCCAAGCTTGATCTTGATCTTCAATAAGCTTGACTTGGTACACTTTGGGGATGAAGCTTGAACTTGATCTTTAACTTGAATTGTATGTTGCTTCACTCCATAATTCCGTCAACCTCCATTTGATATCGTCGTTGAAGCGCTATTCCATCCATTCTCCAACTCGTTGTTTGCCTAGAAAAAATACGAAAACACAAACGCTAGACAAACAACATTAGAAGTAAATTGTTTGTTAAACATCATCAAAACAAGAAGGCCAACACCATGAATTTAAATAAGATTTAAAAAAATATTATTGTTGTTGTGAGTCAAGGTCCCCATAAAAAAGGTGTTCAACATGCGAAGCATGTTAAAGTATAAAATTATATCTTTCAACCCTCACCACAACTTGGGAATTTTGGTGTAGTGGCTGGAATCTTTAACAGAAACCAACTCATGGTTGGGATTTTTAACAAAAACTAACTCAGACAACCCATGTTTTAACTCGAAATCCTTACTTTAATCCCAAAATAACTACGAAGTTACTATATTCACCAAATGTTTAGATCTTTAAACCTTACTAATTTGTTAGAATACTGACCCTCAACTGTTCCTTTTAATGTTTACCATTACGCTGTTTGGGTTTAAGGTCTGTTTACAAGAAAAGAAAACAATGTATTAGTTGGGAAAGCCTATCCAGGGAGAAGAAACAAGACTAACCTTTCTACTTTTCATTTTGATATTGTTCTAGGGGTATCAAAATGAAATGCCAAACTCCAAAGGGGATACTGAATTTACCAAAACCAAAACTCCAATCTGAAAACTCCCATGGACTCTGTTTCAGATACTCCTAAACTTCCTTTTTGACTGTTATTTCTTCTCTTCAGTTTTGTCAATTTCTTCAAGTTTTAACATTTCACAAGAACATTCTGATAGGACATTTCTGTTCTATATTATTTACTTTGTAGATTCCATAATGCCAATGGACCATGTACAGATACGATATATAATTAAGTTTGCTTGACCTATTGCAAGTTCACAGAAGCCTCAAATGAGCTTTTGAGTAAGGTGATTATCTGGCATAGTAGCGTAGCACCATGTTTCAAGAGATCTTGGTGTCAAACCTCATGATTGAGACTTTAGAACAAGGTTACAGAAATTGTTAGGCGGCCTAAGCGTCGCACCCAAAGCATAGAGCCTAGGCTGAACCTAGGCGGTTTTCCTTTTCTTTTTTATTTTTTAGTTTTAATAATTGATAATACATGCCAATGTTATAAAAGGCGTTAGGCGCCACTAGGTGCTCAAGTGGATTTCTTAAGTGGTGGTGAAGAAGGTTTTGCTGAAGGTCAGAGGAGATGAAGGTGTTCACAGTTGGTGGAGTTCAGAGAAGGTTAGAGGATGTGAAGGCTGCGGTATAAGAAATTATGACGTAGACCTAAGTGGTGCAGTCTGCATAAGCAACCTGCTCTCCCCTAAGCACTCCCAAGAACAATGCAGGAGGCCTACATACTGCCTAGGTGGCTAGGCGCTAGTTTTTTAAAACATTTCTTTAGAATATGTTCTTTGCTTTTCCTTTCATAGTGTTGAAACAAAAAGGAAGAGGGAAGAATAGCTATATTCTCATTGATTATTAAGAGGTTAAACTCTATTCGTATACATATTGTATAATCGTCATAAAAGAAAAACTCTAATAAAAAACTTACAATAGGGGAAAGTCCTAAATAAGGATACTATAATTAACTAATACGTCGAATCTGAACTCCTTTAGTAAATGCAACAAATAATATAAAATCTTCCAATAAAACGAATGAATCTTCTGAATCTTTCAATACTCCCCCTTAAGCTGAAGCATGATGCTTAACAAAGCAACACTTGTCCATAAAAGAGTTGGAAAAACTTTTTCGTCATAGTATCTTCGACGTATCAATAATTGATGATAACTTACCCAAACAAATAGAGTGGAACAATTTTCTCCTCGTGGTATCTCAACCATATTAATGTAAAAGTGATAGGAACGAACTTGATCATACTAACAATCGACCAAAAGAGGTGAAAATAATGTCGAGAGAAAAGCTTTGCAAGTGACGTCGACCAAAAAAAGATTTGCAAGGCACAAAAGTCAAAAGAGACTTCATGAGCAATGTCAATAACAAGAATCTCGCAAGTGAGATAAAAGACCGTCCCATACATGGTGCGAAAATTCCATGTTAGTTGAAGACTATGCTGAGATTCAAAGAAAATCAAGTAGGAACACACAAAATCACTAAAGGTGAAATTAGTAGATGACGCTAGAATAATGTTGAGATCAAGAAAATCGAGGTTTGATCCTAGAAGAAA